ATTTCAAAAACAACAATATAATTGAACATGGTTTATTACTTTTTAAGATCGGGGTGTACCTATTTTGCCTATACATTGCGCCGACCGAAAAAAAAGGTTAGTGCTATATGGAATGATAATTTTTTATCTCCGGTGTTAAACTTATTCGTGAGGTTACTGTACAGTTGTCCTGGTTTATTGACTTAAATACCAGTAAAAAAAAATCACCATATACAAAAACAGAACAAATATAGAACTCCGTAAAATAGTCCTTTCGATAATAATCCAACTGTATAATATACCTATTACCTACTTGACTGATTTATAGTTAAGAAGGCACTAAGAAAGCCGATTATAACTATAAGTCAATCGATCGATTGTTGATATTTTATYAAAAGAAATACGCTACGGATTCGGTTAACTAGGCTAGTAGCTAACTACGTAGCAACAGCTGCAAAGATACTATAAGCTACGTTTATATTTGGGCTATAAATTATAATTTACATTAAATATAACGAGTAGGTTTGTATTTTGTGTAAAATAGTCTTATATTTTGATATTTTTGAGTATTTTTTATGAATATTTTTCATTTTAAATATTTACAATTATTTATTTAATACACTTTTAATATTTAAAATATTATTATTATTATATAAACAATTATAAACCTATATACATGACAGACATATTACACAAATATCGTATAGTTTTTAGTTATATGCATATTTTTGACATTCGACTCTTATATAGAAATAATATACATGTGTGACAGTTTTAAAAGTTTTTTTGAAAAACCGCAAGTCGGTCTAGTTAAAATACACGTTTGTTTGTTTGTTTGGTTTTTTTTTTTTTGTTATTTAGTGTCATACACACGCTATCCCGCGAGAGCAATTGAAAAGCGCTCCATTCGTGTGTTGAATTGTCGAGACGGGTCTCCGCGAGGTAGATGGAGGGTTAAAAAAAAAGCGCAATATAATTTGCTCCGATGTCAAAACGAACAAAATTATCTTCGGATACTTTCTAGGCACTTTGTTGCCATGTCCGCCCACCCACTCACCGACTCTCTGCTAGCACACGCCGCGTCCGACTACGCCGTAGAATATTATAATACGAGCGTTTGTACATATCTATTTATGCGGAGTTTGTGGGGAGGAGTTGTAGACGGGCGGTGAGTCGTAACGACTTTTGAAACTTTGAATCGTTTCTGTCATGCACAACGCCAAACTGTTTAAATTCTCACGGGCGCCGCACGGTCCGTGCCTGGTGTTCTCTCGTGCACCACTCACATACGCGTAGGTACTGCACTATTTTATAAGATATATGTAGGTGCGGCACCGAGACGGAAAAAATTAAATCGTTTTTCTTTATTTTTACCGTTTTCTTACACTCACACCTTACCCCTCCTCCTTCCACATAAACACACGCACAACTACAAATATTATCATATCGCGTACAGTATACCGCACACTTCAACCATCTTTTTCCAAGAACATAACATGAAATTTAATCTCGTCCAATTTTCATTCGGAAACTGTTTTGTAGCCACTCGATGTGTGCATATACTAAATATAGGTACATAATATAATACACAATAGCCTACCCCGGATGTTGGGATGGAGGTGAGGTGMTCGCTGGATTATATCGCGGCCGAACAATCGTTGTCCTATAAAGGAATCGAACAGCGGAGGGCGCAGTAAAAAAAGAATTACGATTTTATTATACCGTCTCCCGCGTATACGTATATACCTACAAATAAAAAATGCGTGTAAATATATAGTGTATATACTTACTGCAGTATGCATGAAATTGCGGGTTTACCGGAACGTTCTCAACGGCCGCTAATAGAAAAGAATAAGACGCGAGCAGGGTGGGAGGTTTTGCTTATTTTTTTTTTTGGGGGGGGGAGGTCGAGGGATTGCCGGCGTCGAGAGGTGTGAAAAAGGTGCGAACAAATGAATAATAAAACGATGGAGTCGCGCGCGTTCGAAAGGCAGCGTGAATAATGTACCATTATATATCTCTGGCGTACGCGCATGCGTATAGATGGTATACCGTATACGCGGTATATAGGTAATACTGGTCGTTACGGGCGAAGACACCTCGGCGAGCTTTCAAAGGTGTATTTTGTTATCGTCATAGTTTTAGATTATAATTTGTATATTGGATTCGAAAAAAAATTGTCCACGCTCAGAGCCTATAGGACCGATATGGGTTCCCATTGAAAATAATAGTTATCGATCCTAAGTCGGGGCGACGAGACGGTCTGTGGACCAGGTCCTGTGCTCTTCGTAATATTAATACAATAATCAGCAATAACGATCACAAGAAACGTCTTACAAAATGTCAATAATATTATTGTAATGTTCASGCAGTGTTCTATTTCTTGACAGAATATTTGCATTTGTGGATTTTCCACGAATCGCATTGGTAAGAAACTCAACTCTGGTCTAGCGCCATCTGATAAGAATAATATGATTGAAATTTAATGGGTACAAATTCGTAACGAGTAAAAATAGTTTTGTCTCACAAAAACTAATCTTGAATGTTATATTTTATCATTTTAGAGGATTTGACAATTCCGTCTTAAGGTATGCAGTTTTTTATTTTATTTGAGACAATCATAACATGAAAAAACACATCATTATAAAACCAACACGTTCCTCGCTTCATTCACAACCAAAAAAYAAGAAATTCTTATCAAACCAACAGTGTTGAATTTTTTTATAATGTTATTTACATAAACTTGTTRTTATTTATTTCTAAGTTATATTCGTACCTAGTTCATAAATAATGCCATTATGATGTGATTTTGCTTCAGTTATTTCACTATCAAATGTAAGCAACGCGTAAGTTTCGAATCATGCCCAAATTTATAAAATATGAAGGATAGCCCGATAGGTCYTACTCGCTTAAATCTGGACCCTTGCAGTTATGTACTTATATACAACTATAATACATTTTTATAGTTTTGTATTTTTGTATTCGTTACCCTACCACCATGCTCCCAATCTGGTAATTTTGTTGGCTGAATATTTAGAACCTACTCGGGTTCAGACTGTTTGCCATTACCTCGCCACAACCGAAGAAAATCCGACTTCCCTTACAAACTGGTAGATCAGAAATTGCAAGAATCATCAAATTCAAGTTCTCGCAGGAATTGAATAATAAATATCCGTGCAAATAAAAAATAAAAATTATGATTAAGGGCCAGGGTATTGTTATAAACGGTATTCCACCCCCTGACTGTTAATATAAAAAATAATGCCAAATCATTTTGCTACGTATTTATTTACATTAAAAAAAAAATGAACTTAATTAGTTTTTAGGTACCTATACTTATTACAGACAACAGTTATTATAGCAGGGACAGTATAAACAGTTATCATAAAAATAATATATATGCATAGGTATTWTATATTATACAAAAATATGTATACTTATAGTAATATTCTTGCTAAGGTTTCCTCGAAGGATGGAAGCCCTTCAATATAATATACGATGGTACTTAGAGTTATTTGCTATAAGCATAATTTATTTTTTTTATATGAATTCCTATAAAGTATGCATTATTATTATATATCATCAAWTAAATAATATATGTATTATTCAGAAATTTATATAAAAGACGACGGTAATAATTAAAACATGTGAAATATCTACTTCAGATGAAAATTAAATATGAACGTTAATTTAAAAAAAATATGTAGTAACTGGTAAATATAAATATTTTTGCAGTTAATAATTTGTTCTTAAAGTAKACTTTACTTATTTGTATTTACTAAATATTTTATAGAAAATCAATTATTTATATACATGGTGCCCAAGTAAGAAACATTTTATTTCGTAACTAGATATTTTATATCTATTAACAACTATGTTTTAGACTCCAAATAAATATGATAACATAATATATCATACATAACACGATCGAATTTTTAATACATTTTTCGGTTTTAGAAATTACAATTACAGATTACTATTTTTTGAGTTTATTTAACCAGTATATTTATTACAAATCAACCTTCCAGTGAACCGTTGTGGCTTATATGATATATTTTGGTTTAGCTATTTTAAAACTAATCAACTTATAGATTTTCCATCATAATATGATGTTGCTAAAAAAAGGCACTCTGGTGATGGTCTGAGAAGTTAATAATTATTTACATAATTTAATAGACATAATAACTATCACCACTGCGAAAATTATGTTAATAGAAGAAGAATATTATGCGCGAAAACGTCAACATTAATTTATTACAAAATATATGAAATAATATTATATTCATTCTCAAAAAAAAAAAAAAAATGGCTCATAAATGTACCCAATAAATAACAATACACATTAGTCGTTCAAGGAGTGAGACCAAAACCTTTGCCAAAAACAAAGATTACAGAAAATTTTCTATACTGACTGAAACGAATCAATCGATAACGTTTTGCGTCTGATTTCTTATTGGTCACCAGCTGATCTTCAGCCATGTTTATGTAACTATTTATTTTTGGTACATTATTTTAAAGATACTTCACAGTGCACATAATACCACCGTAATATCATCGACTACGAAATAGAAGCTAAAATATTAGCGGAGTCATTGATTGTAACAGATAATATGCGTGGAATGAATTCTATTTCCAACTATAGATTTTGCTCGAGTGACCAAGAAGTGCCTCATGGTTAGGACATATTTTATAAGTACCATTAAATAAATTTGAAATGTTATTCTGTTATTTAATGTAGATTTAATCATATTCATAGGCATATTAGCACTCTAATATTTACACTAAGCCCAAACACTAAATATATCTGAATTTATTTGATATTGGATGAATCATTTCAAACAACCCTGATGTACTTATTAATTATATTAGTTAATATAATTAATATTTAGAYGTAAATACATAACTAAATGCAAATAAACGAAAAAAAAAATTAATATAAATAATAACAATGACAATAAACGAAAAACTGATGATAATGACATGCTATTCGAATAATAATTTTAATACATCGAAATAATTACCCAATGTTTGTCCCAAAACGGTTCGAGCATCTTCTCCGACACAGGCACTGCGAGCGTCAAAGGGATTAGTGAACTGAACGAAAGCAAATCCTTTGTGCATTGATATACCTGAAACACGAACGAAAACGTATTGTAACAATGATGGCGATGACGATAATAATAATAATAATAACGATATAACGTTAATTAAGCACAGGTGGTGATGATCGGGTACCATGGTAAGTGCACCCATCTCCAACACCCGCCACCGCTCAACCGTTCTCCTCTTCGTACATAGGCGGAATCGTAGTAAACCTTTCAGTCGATTACCAACCGTATAATACATAATAATATATAATACGGTATTAAATGATATTAATAATATTATTGTAAAGTAAGTAAGTAAATACTGTGAGCAACAGTTGTTAAATTACTAAAATATTTCCATTGTTTACCTGTCGGTGAAATATAATAATAATATGCTCGCTCCTGCGCGTCTTTCAAAGGAAAACTATGTGTATATTTTACTGCAATAATATTATTAATAATATAAATAGTATTATTATTATAACTGTTCGAGAAAAGGATCCAAAGAGAAATGGTTTCGATTCAGAATAGCTGTTTAGCATCGCGCCGTGACGTTTCGTATAGAAACGCGCATCGTTTATGTTCGGAGAAACATACCGCTTTAAGTTATTTTGACGTATAAAATGCGATCAGAAAGATTCAATTACGCATCGTACGCATAATATTAATATCATCATAATTAAAAATTAAAATATATTATTTCTATACAATTTTATGTCTGCGGTGTTTATTATACAGTCACGATTCGTACTGCAGCTAGTTTGAGACATTTTTTCTAAGCACTCATATTATGCTTTTTTCAGACTTGGCTGGACGAAATTCAATGAAAAGTTATTGAATAAAAATATAATATTCCATGATAATATTATATTCTTAACAATACGTACCACATGAGATGACAATTTTTAATCGAAAACCATACCTAAGCGTTCTTAATAGGCAACCTCTTTTACTCTTAACCTAAAGTATAACAGCGTGACYTCCACGACCCTCAAAATGTATTTATTTCGATGAAACAACTTTCAATCAATTTGACACGAGTATAATTATATGATATACCATATTCTTCTTTGATGTTAAATTATTATTGGCAACCACCTATTGGACCTATTAAAAATTCACGATCCTTAAGTAGTTCACCACTGCTCAAACCCGCAATGTTACAGATCGTATGTAGAGTCGTGCCATTGTAGTAGGTACGCAACATTRAGTAATACCTAATCATAATAATTAAAAAAATTATTTTACAATTCGTGTTTTAGGTGTTTTTTCGTTAACGAGTACATTTTTTAACGTTCGACGTTCGTCCACTGCCGAGTCTGCTCGTCACCGGGATTACAAAAGATATATTACAAAATTACAAAAGAATAAAAACCAAAACTGCTTTGCAGACACTCTTTCCGTCTTGTARTAGTCTCTGTATTAAGACTCACATACTACGACCATTACAGATTGTTGCATTCTCATATCCGATGCACCTGATGAGGTGAAGATTATTGTCACACTTCTATCTCTTGAAAATACGTAGGTAGGTATGTATTAAATTATGTCATCACGTTATATAATTTTTTTTTCACGGGTGTTTTTCATTTTACTTAGATTATTTTGATTTTAGCACTATATTATGACGGATCACTTGACATAGGTTCGTTTAATATTATGTACATGTATTAGATTGTTATTATACCATATTGTGCCCAATGTGGTAACTTGAGCGTTTACGAATGTAAAATTGTTTATATTCCTTTTGAAAAATACTGAAGTCATTCACATTGAATAAATATATATATATATATATATATCTACATTTAAAAAAATTAAAAACAACTCAATAAGACTATAAGATGTAAAGTTTAGTACTCTAGACTCGGGTACTTAGGTTTAATACAACAATATTCATGTATTTAATTTAAAACATTCTCGATTAAACTCGTCAAAATTATTCTCTAAATATTTTTCAGGAATTTTATATAAAATATAATAATATGATATCATAATTTTACATAAAATAAAATAAATTGAAATGTTATTAAATTGTGGTTTTTTAAAAATAAATTAGCAATATTATTTTATCGCACCTGTTGTAACTAAAATAATAATAATAATAATAATAAATACAGATGTTTAACGTAAGGTTATGCTGCTGAAATGTCTTGAAAATGAAAGTGCCGGAAGGGATATTGTACAGATGAAAAGAACAAATAGCTGACTCAAACAGCAACAGGGATGGGTGGGTGACGGCCGCCGGAGGGTAGATATATATACATACGACCAAACAACGTGCATGTATTTGAAATGGGGAAAAACGAGCAAAAAAATATGATATCAAAAGACTTCTGAGGAATAATAATAATAATAAACATTTTGAAAAAATGAAAAAAATAAAAACTTTTTGATAGTGTTGTGGCTATTGAAATAATATATATATTATATACCTAGTACCTACGTTCGGCCAGCTTGTGATTTGGTGTCATAAACAGCATATTTTCGTATTATATTTAATTATTATTTAGACGTGTACGTAAAATATATTATATTTAACTGAAATCTCAGCAGACTTCAGATCACAGTTTCACACATATATATATWATAACATTATGAATAATATAATGTTAGGTATTAAATATTTTTAGCAAAATTCTTTTGTACACTCGTGTTCAATTGCATTGTGCCCTTTTACTATAATTTATGRTATCTCTATTAAATTTTAAATGATTAYCAGTAATATAATACTGTGCACTAATTAAAATACTCGAATCAGGAGTTAGTAGAGGAGCCTTTTATAGTCAACGACTTTACCAAAAATGTTCAGAAAGTTAGTTATTATAATCATTATAGTATTTTATATATTTGGATTATATCTATGTAATACGTACCCCAATAATAAATAGTACAATTTAAAGGTATCACTACTAAAGTAATGTACGTGAATAATATTTCGCTATATTAAAATATGAAGTAATATCACATTTAGTAGACTATGAAAGTTGACTATAGAGAACCACGCTTATTAATATCAAGGAGTTKGATAATATTTATTAGTGAACGATAACTAAAAAGCGTGGTATACTAATCTACGTATCATAATAATCTATACTTGTGATAAGTGTAGTATAGACTATAGTTCCCATTGGAAATTTTTTTGTTTTAATTTATTGTTATTGATATACATTTTGAATTAAATACTTTTCATATATTATTACCTGCCAATTATTAATTAGGTCCATTAATAGATTTTATGAATGTTTTAATACAATGAACTGATGAAAAATTGATTAACTTTGAAATTGTTAAAAAAATTGATTTAAAAAAAAATAATTTATAGGTATAGGTGATAGGTATTAGGTAGGTAGGTACTCATAATATGTAGTAAGTATTAATAAGTACCAAGCTACTTATTTACATTAATATAGATTAATTTATATTTACATTAGAAGGAAAAACACAAATATTCTCAACTTCAGCAAACTTCTGTGAATTCTAACATTTTCCTCAGTATCCAAAACCTAGGAATAAGATTGGAAACTAATTAATGGGCATGCTTATAATATTTTATCAATATATTATATAGATATCTACAACATATAATATATCAACGATATTTTATTCAATATGGGTAGCAATTAATTATTATATGATTATTTATAAACTGTAATTAATAATTTAGTGATCGAATCGATTTTTATTGTACATATTACTTAGTATAATGTATTAAATATCATATAGGACTATAGTACTTCTGGTTGAGTAAAAATAATATTGTACCTATTTAAAATTGATACATCTACTTTCTACCTTTCAAAATTAAATGTATAGTATTTAAAAATATATATATTTAATGCGCTAATWGGATAAAACGCTCGTTAATTAGATTTTTACAAAATAATTAAAAATATAACATTTTCCTTTCTTAATTAATTTTAAATTCAATTCAATTATATTGTTGAATTCATAATTTTAACAAGAGACAGTTCGTYTTTGGGCTGTCTTATATTTTCCCTACGCTAAATAATTTATGTGAAAAAAAAATACACTAAAATKTCAATAATAATTGTATTATTTTAATTTTAATGCTAAACGGTTATGTACGGTGAACACATTATAATATATTATTTTTTAATTTACGAAAAATAAAAACTTTTCGATTAAACAAATACGAAAAAACCCTTGATGGTATTCAAAGTTTTAAGTTGTACCAATATAGTATTATGTTTTCACAATTTCTCAAGTAAATTCTAAACACACTATACTCAAAAATCTAAAGTGTTCAAGTTTCTAGAACACATCATGGCTCAATCTTAGATCATATACAATGGATGGAATCACAGCTCAATATTTTGATGTATATGTTAGCGACAAGTCACCAGTTATGTGTACCTTACCACGCATGCGCAAGTGAACAGTCGCATATTTTTCTCAGTGATATATATCATATATATGGTATGATATGAGATTATTGATAAGAAATACGAATAAATAGCTTCTGATAAATATATGCGACTAGTTGTTGGAGCATGCACTCAGAACGCTTAATCAATGATCTACATACATAACACGCAAGGAAGATATTTCAAATGTGCATTGTGATTTTATCGACACGAATACCTATAACAATATATCACATAAGGATAAGGACACCGAAGACGTCGATAGCAATACAATTAATCGAAACATTAGACAGATGTCTATAGTCTAAAAGTTCATTGATTATTGGATCATAATAATATAATACAAATTACAATAGTCTATTACTGCAGCTGCAGCTGCGACTAATTCTAATGAATTTAAATTCATTATATACCTAACAGATGATACATTACAGTGTATATATCAYACGAGCATATAGCATCGACATAATGCGTATACTTATTATATGTATATAATATAATATATATRTTTGAATAATACAGGTAATCGGATAAGCCAATCGAGGCTTTTGTAAAACCGTTTACCGTGTATAATATTATTATATATACACAGGTTCCATACTTTAACTACATAAAGATATATTTTCTATTTTAAATCGAAGTCTGGAGGTTACTCACTAGGTATATTRCTGTTTTATCAATCAAATAAAAAATCTCAACGTTTATCTATATTATAATTTAATTATTTATTTATTATTATGTATTAAACAAATTAGAAATTATACTGATACTTTTTATATTTATTTATGATAAGGCTTACGTTGATCAACGTAAATATTATTGATTTTTTTTTTAAATAACCGTCACATCAATTTTATTTTAACATTTTTCCATAAATACATGCTGATATGTCTTTTATCATATCATGTTGATATTACAATATTAACACATTTTTATTTTTAAATTTAAATTTAACGCAATGTTTTTCGTGTATAGGACTAGCACGCAAACGTAAGCTAAAACGTTCACAGATTGTAAAGACATAATATTCAATATTTTKTACACTGAGTGATGTTTTGCCACAGATCATTGATATTATTTCCAAACTCATATTTCAAATTCTTAATTCTAAATTTCCAAAACAATTTTTTGACTYGTAGCACGTCACACAGTATTGCATATTTGCATGTGGTTATTTAAACATTATTTTAAGTATTTTTGATAATATATCTCATTATTTACGAAAAATTCGATGAACTCGATTTAAAAAAAAAAAAACTTTCTTAAAATCATTAATTCTTAGCGTTTCAAAGGTTGAACTGTTTCTGTAATGACGTCGCGGCGTTACGCTCAGCCGATTTTCTGGCTGAGAACCACAAACTAAAATAGTATTGCGCAAGTTTAGTCGATACGGTATTATTATTATTATTTCAACTATTATGATATCGCGTTTTAGTCGGTACGTTGGCCAAACTGCCCACGTCCCACAGACCGACAACTACTACTACTTACAATATTACAACATTATTCACTCATCTAGTAAGTTCCTACCGGTTACGCGTGCGTTCACGACGACTGATAACAGATATCAGATTTTTTTAATTATTTTTTCGTCTGATASMATAAATGCATAATGTTATTGACATAGTTTTTTTTGTAAACACTTCGGTTTTCTTCGATCATAAGTGTCGTAAACATTTTCGACTACCACAATACTGATTAACCACCTGTGGAGTTGTTCCGGACCTCCGTCACGATGCAGGTAAAATTGATTTTTACGAATTATCGTAAGTAGAACTTACTACAAATCAGAAACTTTTAGTCGAACTTAGCTATTTCTGATATAACCATTGGACGGATATCTTCCTCGTTTAAAGTGCGTTGTGTTTCGAGCACGAATATCTTTAATCTTAGACCTTAGTCAATCATCCATATTGTATAAATATAATCATTTACTCGAGCCAATACCTCCATCGAACATAAATAAGTAATGATATTATCAGATTAGGTAGGTACTTCTATATAGTTAAGACGTATGAGTATTTGTCTAGTTCATATTGCTTAAAAATAATTATTATGATATTATGATAAATAAGTTATTTAAAATAACTAATATTACTATATTATGTACGTCTATAATATGATATAATATTTAAACGTCTAGAATTGAATTGRTCGTTAATTGATAACTTAACAATATTGAGCAAATATGGTCAAATAAAATAAATAAAATATATTTATAAAATAAGATAGTCAAAAAAATATAAATAATGGATTTTAATAAATAGTATGTACGATTCGTTATCAATGCTTTAGGTTTAGAATGATGACATTGCAGTAGTACAGTTGTATGATCATAATTTATAGAATAGAACAAACGCAATTATAATAACTTCCTATATTACATTGTCTAATATTGAATATTGATAGTAGTTGATACTAATGATACTATTATGTTACTGCAATATTGCACATTTACAAACGTACATCTACAGAATAGTTCCTAATTTTAGCTAGCGTATTCCATTCAATGTATGCGATTATTTATCAATCACAATAATGTTATAATAATATGGTAATTGAAAACATAAAAATGAACCAACTTAATATTGCACATTTGTACCTGTCATTAAATCTGTATTAATTTGTATGTATTAGTTATAATTATTTTTATAAATCATGAGTATAACGTATATACGTTGTATAGCTATTATAAATTATAATGATAATGATGATGTCTTAGAATGTGTTTATGTGATCTATTTAAGCATATTTATTACATGTAATATATTATATTGACTCGAATAATTATACGCTTTTTGCGTGTTTAAAATGTTCGAATGACGTTATCGCGTGCGGTTTTGTACTTAAATACTTAATACTCTTCACCCGGCTCTTCATAATTTTGCATTATTATTTATTACATCCCTCTATTCAATAACAGAAATGGAAAATATTCATCTAATGTTAGGTTTATCGATTTTAAGACGAAGTGTAAACAGCGTGTGTTTAAAACTTATATTTAAACAAAGGTCATCTCCCCTTAAATATATAGGGTTTTCAAATACATTTATCGAACCCGTGTATTTTTTGTAATAATTATATATTTTCAAGTATATATTTGTGTAGATACATAATATTATCTATTATTTTCAACTTTAACTTATTGTTCGACGATAATAGTCGATTTTATCTGAACCAGAGATGGATATTTTTTTTATTTCGAGTGTGTTTACAGATATTTTATAATACCGATGATAAAAATCATAAAAAACATTAACAATTGTCTGTTGGTCGACTATTGTACACAAAAGTTGTTTGTAGGAGAAAACAACTCGTGCAGGCCAACTTTTCGCGTGTTCGAGACACATATTTTAAATATGTAAAACGATGTTGGCAAATAGATATTGTTTTTGACGTTTCCATTTCTGCTTTGCACCGTTGGTCTGGGCAATACACCCAAAATTATAATTTTATGATTATTGGTCGAATCGAGATTCCAAACGCGAGGGCTGGCAGATTTAATCATATTCGAATTAAGTATAAAAGTTACAACATTCGACGGTATTATATTTTATCGAAATATACTATAAAAGGGAAATCTATTTATTTTTTCTAGAACATTTAAGCCTATACCACTCCAAATTTTACATACGCATCTCATAGACATACCACCAATCTAAACTAATCTAACTTAAAAATTCTATCATACTGTACATGCATTTTTTTTCAGAACTCAACGTCAAGGGTGTTGAGACATTATTTGCGACGTCGATGTAGTATACGTTTCACGTCGAGTGCATCGAGTTTTGACTGGGAAGATGCTCTAAACCTCGAACACAATTTAACGGACGATGAACGACAGTTGAAAGCCTCGTTCAGGGACTTCTGTCAGAAATCCCTCATGCCCAGAATATTGAAATCGAACCGCGATGCCGTTTACGAAAAAGATGTGCTCAAAGACATGGCGTCAATGGGTGCATTGGGATGTACTATCGGCGCCTACGGTTGTACCAAAGTGTCACAGGTCGGATACGGTCTCATCGCCAGAGAAGTAGAAAGAGTCGACAGTGCATATAGGTTGGACGGTTTTCATTAACATGTAGACGAGTGCCCGTGAGGTAATTCGTGAACGTTTTTAAAATTAATTTTCATATTAATTGATTGCAATCATTTTATGTTTAAATAATCATACAGTTAACTGTAAATGTAAAAAGTTATACTTTTGAATTGAGTTGTCGATAAAAAAAATATAATAGAACCAGCGAGATATAGATTTTAAATTTTTAAATGTGACTCAATAATATTTCAATTAACAGTCAGGCACGGATCCAGATTCGAGAGAAACAGTTTTTTTTTTTTATTGGTATTCGTTCTTAGCGTAGTTGCCTATATAGTCATCTCGTATTCCTCTCAATACGGGCGCTCCWCTSGATGACATTTTTTTATTTAAACTAACTCACTCGRCRATGGACATTGACGGGCGTGGGTTATAATTTGATTTTAGATCCGCCCTGAGCGTCCAATCGTCGCTGGTCATGCACGCGATTCACGCGTACGGCACCGAAGAGCAACGGGAACGGTACCTACCGCGGCTGGCCACCGCTGACCTAGTGGGTAGCTTTTGCCTGACCGAACCGAACGCCGGAAGTGACATCGGTACGATGGAGAGTAAAGCCAAGTACAACGCGGACACCAAGTCTTACGTACTGAACGGCGCCAAGACGTGGATAACCAACGCACCGGTGGCCGACGTGTTCGTGGTGTGGGCCAGGTGCGATGATGGCCGCGTCCGAGGGTTTTTGGTGGAAAGGGGCACAGCTGGCCTTTCGACTGCCGTAATACCCGGAAAAATGTCGCTGAGGGCGTCCAGCACCGGATCTGTGTACATGGACAA